GTGGAACCCAACTACCGTAACCCATGTTTTCTAACAAGACAGATGTGAACAATTTCAAGAAGAAGACGTGGAGCATGTGTTTGTGAAGAACAAGAAGAATTATTACTACAACGACGACGAGGACAGAAGACTTGGGGGAAATGGAATAGAAGACGTTTCTGGGGATTTTTTGGTTTGGGATAGGAAGAAAGATTTTGGGTTGAAAGAGGGTTTCAAATAGTTTAGAAAAGTCCACAGCAAGAAAAAACATAATTAAAGATTCCAGGTTTAGCCTATAAGCCCTGTGAAGAGCTGAATCGGTGGGCAAAATATTGGACTTTGAGCTACACAGTCACCAGTGGACCAATGGAAACTTTCAATCAATTTATCTCGGTTCCTGTAAAAGATGTCGAAAAATAGTCAACTGTTTTCTTCATTATCGGAGACGAGAAAAATTGACTCAAAGATACAGGGTTTTTAAAAGTAGTCAACTGACAAACTGTTAATTATAATATAAACAAAATGTAGCCTGTTGACAACTTTTTGATATATTTTACAGAAACCGAGTTAAATTGATGCAAAGTTTAGAAGGAAATCGGTCGACAGGCGACTTCGCAACCCCATAGCTCAGCCGGCTGGGAGCCCGCCTATTGAAGGTAGGACGAAAAAGTACACTCGAGAAAGAAAAAACCTTCTGCGTCCTCAATTAGGTGATGGTTTTATCGTTACAATCAAAAAGTTATCCTTTCCATCCTTCGTTTACATCCTTCGAGTGATAATTTGACTAATTGCTGCGGCGGCAAACATCAAAGGGAAATGGAGACGTGATGACAGGATTATGTGATAAGTGACACCTGGGGGAAAGATAAGAATAAAAGGAGAAATAAGGAACACAAGAACTGGAAAAGATAATGTTTGTGTAGTCCCGGTAGAAAATACATAGGAATATTAATTTCAATGGGTACTGTAGTTTATGTAATGGAAAGATCTCTCCAATTTGAGCCAATTTATCTCGGTTCCTATGAATGATATCAAAAAGTAATTAACTAATAAAATGTTGCTGATACTATGATAAAAATTTTATCAGTTGATCACTTTTTGGTATCATTTACAGGAACTGAGATATGAGGGTTCAAAGTGGACGATTTGAGGGCATTCATCTTCATCTTTATCGACAGCGCTGACTACAGTAATCCTTGAGAATATATTTCGAAAATCGATGTACTTTTAGCAGACACAGACAAAAACACCACAGGGGGTTCCGAAAGTCACAGTGGGCTGTGAGAAATTTCATTTTGAATGAATCGAAACAATTTGAAATACCAATTCTGAGCTGTAAGGGAAAAAGAGAAAGGGGGATCTAAAAAAAGCACCACTTGAAAAAAAAAATCGGCCAAACTTTTGAGTTTTTCTGGGGAAAAAATGATGCACTTGAGACAAAAAACAATAATACTAGACATATTTCATTATATGCTCAAGTATTCCGTTAAGATGATTTTTCAAAATATGACATTTTGAGAGAAAAAAAAAGAGATTTTGAAGTTCTCGAAAATGGTTAAATTACGATTATTGAAAATTGTAAAAATGGCTACACATCTTAATGTTCAGTTTTTCAAAAAAAAAAGTCTGCTTTTGTACTGAAAATATGTGTCAACTTTAAGATCAATTTCAAAAAAATGTGTCAAAAATGATGAAAATGATAAAAATGGGGTATATTTGGCGAACGCGCTCTACTGGACAAAAAAGTTTGAAAAATCTAAGTGAGAATAAAATCTAGATAAAAATGAACATACCTCACTGTCAGTAGGTTTTTGGTTTTTTAAAGTGTTAACCAATAAAACAAAATAGGAACCAATAAGGAAATGATATCTATGAACATATATTTTGCTCTTCTTCTCACTATATTGCTTGTTACTAATTTGCATATCAATGGAACATGTCCATAACAAAGTATATGCTTTCCATTGTTTTCCTAAGAATCAGAATTTACAAGAACATGGGGAGAGGGTGTCAAGTGGATGAGAGGATTTGATTGTAGTATTGGGTATAAAGATTACGCACTTTTCAGGAGGATGGGATGGGTGATATTTAAAGACGTACATCTCAAAAACTACGCTATCAAAAAGTTGTCAACTGGGAAAATGTAGAACGTTAAATTTTACACATTTTGTTGATTAACAGCTTTCTACTAGCTATTTTTCTGTCTTAGTTATGCGCCTTTAAAGATTACGCACTTTTCAGGAGGAAGCTGCAAGGGATGATGATCTTTAAAGGCGCATACCGTAAACCCTGTATCAGAAGTGTCTCTTTAGTAAAAAGATCTGAAAAAAGATATTCGGAAAAATACAAGGTTCCATCTAATTGAAGGGCACCTGAAATAGATTTCGGAGGTATCCCAAAGACTTACCCCCAAAACATCTCTCATTTCCCCCTGCAACAACGTTATATCCGAATCCAAAGAGGCCAGCAATTGCAGAATCAACTTGCTAGAATTTTCAGACATTTTCTGGAAGCTTGGATGTAAAGTGATGTGGGTCTAGTGGTATTGAAGCATTTTCTTATCTGTTATATCTTGGTATCTTTGATCTAACTAAAATTTTTGAATGATTAGAACTTGGTTTTTGCACACTAATTGGAAATTTGAGCTTGTTTTTCAAAATTGAGATCATTATCTTTAAAGAAATAGGTTTAGAAGAAAGACTTGCATAGCTATGATGTTAATGTTATCTGATTTTGTAACCTATCGAAAAAAAGTCTCAAATTTCAGATTTCGTAACTTTGAAGTGGTGGGACATTTGAACAATTACATCAGACACTTATCATCTGAAATTTTGAAAACTTTGATGCATCACTCTGATATTTGAATGTTGTCCCGAAATTGAGAAATAAAACTTTATTTACTTATTTAATTAACAAATTATTTAATTAACAAATGCTTAAAAAATATAAAAAATGAGGAATAACAGAAACGAAACATGGTTAAGGTCCAGATTCATTCAACTCAATAGATTATTATTAAAATTACCAAATCCATATTCTGCAAAAATTGCATTTCTTCTGGAATTATCAAACGCCGCAAACATGCTAATGAAACGCCACCCGAACCGTCCACTTTGAGCCTATAAATCTCACTTCTTCTGAAAGATATCAAAAAGTTGTCAACTAATAAAAAGTTTATCATGATATCAGCAACATTTTACCAGTTAATCACTTTTCGATATCTTTCACAGAAAATGAGATGCATGTGCTCAAATTCGATGTTTACGGTATTTTTGTGTTGGGATTAACTTATTTCAAGTTAGGAATTTGAACTTGTTTACAAAAATGCTTCAATCTTTAAGAATCTGTCTCAAATTTTGTACTTGTGCTGAGCAAAACTAGAGCATCATTTTTGTAGTTAAGACGTTTTTGTGCAAATGTGCGCTAGCGAGATATGCCACGTGGAAGACACCCGGTGTTGCGAGCCTATAGGCTATATAGTGCTCACTTCCCCATAGCGTATCTCAGTGGAGCATTTTTGCACAAAAAAGTCATCAACTACAAAAGTGGAGCTCTAGTTTTGCTTGATACTCTCTGAAAGTTTTAGGCAAATCTTTCGAATTTGAAGTATTTCTGAAGACGTTTGAAAGTTGCACTGTCAATGTTTCTCTTTGGAGGTTTGAGATTTCAGTTTTTACTTTGTCTTGGTCTAACTTTTATTGGGTATTTTCTGAATTCTATGATTCATGAATTGTTTTTCGTGTGTCATTTTTTCAGTTGTCAAATTGTGCATACAACCAATTGTCCAGAACGGTTCGGACGGTTGAACCTTCACGGGTTCTAAAAATAGGATATCTGAAAAACTGATTTTCTTTCATAAATAAACATATCGATTAAAATTGAATAAAGTATGTTAAGATTAGTGCCCAATAACAGTTTTTTTCACTTTTTTCTTTTGGAAACATCAGTTTGGCATCTTCTGGAAAAGTAAAAACATTCAAATTACTACCTATACCATCACCGTCCTAGAAACTTTCGACCTTGCATCTATAAAATGAAGTTTCCGAGTTTAAAATGAACTGAAAACTAATTTTCCATCTGAAATTAAATATGTTGCAATTAACTATATTGCTATAATATATTGGCGAAAAATTATTTTTTTAAGACTTACAACAACAGTAATTTACTGTATAAGGAAACCAGTAGAACCTGCAATAATAGGTCCCTTAACTGTGAACCAGTTTATCTCAGTTTCTGTAAAAGATATCAAAAAGGTGGTAACTAATATAATGTTCCTGATATTATGATAAACGTTTTAACAGTTGACAATATTTAAATAGCTATGATAGGAATCGAGATAAATTGGTTCAAAGTAGAGATACCCTTCTAAACAGGCCGAGTTTGCCACTGACGGGCTCCTAACTTTAAGCCGATTTACCTCAGTTTCAAGGAAAGATATCAAAAAGTTGCCAATTAACGAAATATTTGTCGTAATATCTTTAACATTTTATCAGTTGACCACTTTTTTATATCTTTACCAGGAACCGAGATAAATTGGGTTAAAGTTAAAGAAATTTCTATTTTTCACTTTTTCCTCTTTCCACGATTTTTGTTCTTTTTTTTCCCAATATTTTTGTGTCTGTTCGTTTCTGTCCCAAACCGCCTCACATAGGGATAATCTAGCAAACAAAGAGAAAGGATGGGAGAGAAGAGAGAGGGTAAAGAGTTTTAATGGCACCCATAAATCTCAACTCTCACCAGTGGAAAGACGTTGGTTGGGGAGAAGGAGAAGAAAAATGAAACATTGGAAAAATAGATACAGAGGAAGAAAAGAAGAAGAAGAAGAAGAAGATCTATCTGATGGGAGGACGAGGTGAAAAACGACGGTGGAGAGGTCGTTGTTCCGACTCTTTGTGTGTCTTGTTCTGCAACATTTGAGAAAGGATAGGAGTAGGAAAAAAGAATGATTTTGAAAATTTACAAAATCAAAGAATCTAAGAGTTTAGGAATCCAGGAATCCCGGGATCCCGGGATCCAGAAATCCAGGAATTCAGGAATCCAGGAATCCCGGGATCCCGGGATCTAGGAATCCAGGAATCTAGGAATTTAGTATATTGGAATCTTGGAAACCAGGAACGAGGAATCCAGGAATCCAGGAATCCAGGAATCCAGGAGTCCAGGAATCCATGAATTCAGAAATCCAGGAATTCGGAAAATTAGAAATCCTGGAATCTAAGAAACCAAACCTCAAAAATTCAGAATAAATTCTTTCCGAAGTCTAGAATTTGAAACCTAGAAACTGGAAAATTTAGATTTCGTTTTTTTTTCTAATTTTCAGAAAACCATTTCAGATTTTTTGGACGATCTTCAGAAAACTCTGCAACGTTAAAAATCAATTTGAAAAATCTGGAAAAATTCAATATTTGACATGTCCTGAAATAATGGAATTTTTAAATATAAGCTTTGAAATTGCAAATTCAAAAAAATTTTAAAAATTGATAAAAGTTTTTAAGGGACTCTGAAACTCCAAAAATCAGTTTTTAAAAGAAAAAAAATAAAATTTGAGTTTCTCGGAAAATTTTGGATTTTCTTTGAAAATAGGAAAGTCTGCTGAAATTTCAGAAAATTGGAAACTTTAAATATGCAAAAGAAATGAAAAATTAGTGTGTTCACTCGAATTTTTTAAGAATCACATCAAAATTTTCTAGAAGGTAAAAAAAGCTTACCTGCCTGCCTGAAAAAAAACACCACTTCCAGTTGTCCTGCCTGTTGTTCACGAGCTTATAAGTACCTTACAATATAAGCTATGGAAACAGACAGAACAACATTGAGGTGCTAGTAGCAAAATATAGAAATTAGGAATATATAGAATAGAAAAATAGAAAGAATGACAAAACTCGAAAGTTCAGGAAATTCAAAATCCACCGACGTCTTCTGGAAATCCCTCCGAATGAATAGAGGGGATTAGAACGATTGGAGCAGTTGGCAAAAAGGTAGTAAAGTAAATCCAAATCTCTCAGGAATCTCGGGAAGAGACATCTCAGAGTTGTGATTGGTGTTGTCGGATTGTGGGGATACACACACACACACCTTTTGATACACAAAATAGAGAAAAAAGAAGAAGACAGGACGACAGCGGCAGAGGGGTGGTATCTGGCAAAAAAGATAGGACAACAGGTGCCTTTTGAGATGGACACAGGGAGAGAGAGAGGAGGGGATAGACCACGCCCACTTTTTTCCAAGAAAAATATGGATCCAAAGCCATCCAGGCAGGAATCGTGCCCCAGAGAACTCGGACAAAATTGAATGATTTCTAGAAACTTTAAAGGAAATTCATAAATTTCTATGACCGAAAATTTGAAGAATCTTCAAAATCAAGGTTTTCAGGGTTCTTGAAATATCGATTTCTCGGAATAGAAGAATCTCGAAAAATGAAAATTTGAAAATCTAAGGATCAAGGAAAAAGGGAGCCTATCTTGGAATCTAAGAAACCAGGATTCTAGGAATTTATGTATCTAGGCGATGAGAATTTCAGAAGTCTTGGAATCTAAGAATCTATTAATCTGGGAATCTGGAAAGATGAAAGTCGGGGAACTTAGGAATTCAAAAACCTAGGTATCTAAGAATATAGGATTCTGGATATTCCGATTTTTGAAACCCCTAAAATCTAAAACCATTGAAATCTTTAAACCTCTGGGAACTTGATAATGTGATAGTGTAAGAATCTGGGAACCCACGACTTTTGTAGTTATGGATATTTTGGATTCACAGCGAAATCTTGTTAACCTGAAAATTTGGGAACCTAAAAACATGGAAAACTGGAAATCAGAAAATTAAAGAATCCGGTTGACAATTCCAGATTCTAGGGTTTCATTACTAATTTTAAAGTTCCGAATTTCAGTATAATATAAGTTAAATATTCAGTATGAAAACTAGAAATCCAAAGATTTGAAAACATTTTAAAATCTTGGAGTCTTCGTCGCTTTTCGTAGACTAAATTTCAGAAGACCCGTAATAAAGGTATTCTCCTCTTCGAGCCCAATTATCTTGATTCCTTCAAAAGATATCAAAAAGAAGAAAACTGACAAAATGTTTAGAATATAAAAATATATATTTCGCTAGTTGACAATTTTTTGATATCTATCACAGAAACCGAGATAACCTAGATAAGCTAGGTGACCCTTTTATCGCGAACTAGACCTGTAATAGAAGAGTCCCTTATCTTGACCTAATTCATCTTGATTCGTGTAAAAGATATCAAAAAGTGGCTCATTTACAAAATTTTTGAAATGTGAAAATGAAAATGTTGCCAGTTGACCACTTTTTGGTATCTCTCATGGGGACCGAGATACTGGGGAGTCAAATTCTCAAGGGGCACCTCCGATAATAAGGAGACCCTTCTAATACAGATTTCAGGATACTACCGTATATTTTAAAACTAATACAAAAAAATTAATAGAAGAAGGAAAATTCCCTTTTTCCTACCAATAAAATTTTGCCCGCTTAGTGGGTGGTGGTTGTGAGAGGTTTCAATGTGGCGGGGGACTGATCGTCGCCGTCGGGAGGACGTTACACGTGGAAGCAACAAAAACAATACAGAAAAAGAGAGAGAGAGAGAGAGAGAGAGAGAGAGAGAGAAAAGAGCCATAAAATTCGGAATTTCTGTGTCTCACTCTCTCACACGCTACGTCTTCTGTAAGGTCGCCTCCTATACAAACAGCCAGCAGCAGAAATAGATAAGAATCCAAAAGGGAGGAAATTAATTACAGAGCGACGGGGAGATGGTTTTGATAATGATTGGAAAAGGTGTTTTGGTTTTGATGGATCATGTGTATAGTGTCGAGAATTCTGAACTTGTTTGGGTATGAGTAATGAGGTTGAGAAAGGTATAATTAGGTAGATATGATCTGAAGATTCAGATTTGAGTGTCTAGGAATCTAGAAATCTAAACTTGATTTTTGAACTTTGGAAATCAGGAAGCCAGGAATTAAGATAGGCATATTCCAAGTTTTTTTTTAAATTCAGATAAAGCGTTCGAAGTACCACGTTGCTATCAGCTGAGCTACGGTGGCGAAGTATTAAAAAGGCCTTTGTACTTTGACCCAATTTATCTCGGTTCCTTTGGGAGATATCAAGAAGTTGAAAACTAACAAAATGTTTGTCATAATATTACCAACATTTCGTTAGTTGACCACTTTTTGATATCTTTCAAAGAAACAGAGATAAATTGTCCTAAAGTTAACTTTCCCATTGCACACTTAGCGATCCTGGGTTCCAACTTTCACAGAATTGATCTCGGTTCCTTTGAGAGATATCAAAAATTTGTTAATTACTGAAATTTTTTTCATGATATTACCACCATTTTGTTAATTGATCCATTTTTGATATCTCTTATAGGAAACGAGATAATTGGGGACAAAATTAAGGTATGCGCCACTGATAGTGAGCTACGCGGTTACAAGCCTTGGCTGCCGACCGATGAAGGGGTACGGTAAACAGAGTGAAAATACCTAATTCCCGATAAGTTATGAATGACAAGATATCGGAACTTTCATGCATTTTTTTTACTATAAATTGCTCCTAATTACAGATTCCTAGCGATTTTTAGAAATTCGGGGGAAACTTGAATTAGCAAAAAAAATTAGGCTTGAAATTCCAGGTTTTTCGTGTAAGAATAGGCAAAATGTTTAAATTTTCTGAATTTTTGAAAATTCTGAAATTTATACTTATTCTAAAAAAAACCTGAGATTTTAAATTTCTATCTGATTGCAAATAAATCAGAAAATTCCAAAAATCAAATAATTCAAAATGTTCAAAAATTTCAGAATAATAGAAATTTTCAGAAAAAGCTGTATTTCCGAAAAATCTAAAATTTCAAAAATATTCAAATTTAATTTTTAAAATAGTACCAGAAATGGAAAATTTCTGAAAATAGGACTAATTTTTTTTTAAATTGAATATTTGAATGTATACGTATAGTTTCTTGCTCGAAAATCGATTCAAAAAGAACTACAGAGATATTCTATTCCAAAATGGAAAAGCTTAAATTCGACATTTTCCAAAACAACAAATATCACAACAACAGTCATAATAAAAATAACAATACAATGAAAAACCTAGCCCGTCGGACACTAATAAAATGTTTACGACTCTCTGTATTCATGAATATATGCCATCGATTCGAGTGGATTGGTTTCTCTACTAGACAACCTTAATATTATGCTAATACAACAAAAAGAAAAGGACACAATAGCAGTTGGGCGGATTTATTAGTGTGCAGTATTTGTACGAGAAGGAAATTGGAAATATACGGGGTAAAGGAGGAAATGAAAAATCAGAATGTTTGAAGATGTGGACCATTGAAAAATCTTTAAAGGGGGACTCCGACCAAAAATTTTTATTGCCTAAAAATGTTTCAAAAAATATGTATTTTCCTAGTATTATTGCAAAAAAATTCAAAAAAAAAATCCTAAATACCCGAAAAACTGCGTTGAAAAAAAAATAGGATTTGAATTCCCGCGCAGTGAGAAATCTAGGCCACGGCTTCATAGCGCCTTTCTTACATGGAAATTTTCCCGGATTTTTTCGGTTTTCGTGTCCGGCAGGTAAAAAACGTAAAAAAAGAACTGTCGGCCACTTGAAAAAACGGCTGTCAGGCGCCGTGACCTAGGTTTCTCACTGCGCGGGGATTCAAATCCTCGTCCCTCCTAGCAACTTTTTTTTTTGAAATTTTTTCGCTTTTAACACCATTTTTCTGAGGTTTAGGATTTTTTTTTCGAATTCTTTCGCTATAATATTGGGAAAATAGCCACTTTTTCGACCATTTCAATGCCAATAAAAATTTTTGGTAGGAGTCCCCCCTTTTAAGATTTGGTTAAAGGGAGGTGAGACAGGACGCTAATGATGGCAATCGGTCCTTTAAGGAGGCCTGACAGAAAGAATCCTTAAAGGAGAGGGAACTCGAAAAATAGAATTCTTGAAATTCGGTTCATACAGATAAGCCCCTCGAGGAGTTGAACTTGTGTGCCCACCGTTGGAAGTGCCGCGTTTCTACCAGCTGAGCTACGGTGGCGCAAGCTGCGCCCCCTAATGCCTTGTCCGCGAGTTTAACTAAGGAGCTCTTACCGTAAAACCTGTATTAGAAGGGCCGGCTCTTTTATTAAAGGGGCCCTTTAATTAGAGGGGGCTCT